TGACCCACTGAATTGTAGTTTCCACTGTTGCTTTTTAAAAGTCCGATGCCAGCTGGGGCAGTGGTTCATGGCTATCCCAGCACTTTGGGAGGTGGAGGCGAGAGGATTGCCTGAGCCCAGGAGACCAGCCTGGGCAACATGGTGAGACCTGGTCTCTGTAATACATATTTAACAGTTAGCCGAGTGTGGTGGTACACATCCGTAGTCCCAGCTACTTGGAAGGCTGAGGCAGAAGGATCACCTGAGCCCTGCAAGTCGAGGCTGTGGTAGCCTTAATCATGCCACTGCACTCCAGCCTGGGCGACAGTGTGAGACTCCGACATAACGAAATAAATAAAAGTCCAATGCCATTTGTCCTCTGATCTTCTGTATGTAGCCTTTTAATCTCTGGTGATGTTTAATAACTTGTTTCTATCTCTGGAGTTTAAAAAGTTTATGGTGATATCCCATAGTGCGGGCCTTTTATTATTAATTGTACTGGGTAGTACTTAGAGTTTTTTTTTGAGTCAGGGTCTCACTCTGTCACCCAGGCTAGAGTGCAGTGGACTGATCACAGCTTACCACAGCCTCAACCTGCTGGGCTCAGATGATCCTTCCACCTCAGCCTCCTGAATAGCTCGGACTACAGACATGTGCCACCATGCCTTAATTTTAATTTTAAAATTTTAATTTTTTTTGTAGAGATGAGGTCTTCCTATGTTACCCAGGCTGGTCTCGAACTCCTGGGCTCTGGCAATCCTCCCAGCTCAGTCTCCCAAAGTGCTGGGATTACAGGCGCCCGGCTTTTAATGCAGAAATGCCTTCAATTCTAGAAATTGTTTCTACATACTTTTCCCGCCTCCATTTCTCTTTCCTCTTTTTTTTCCTGAGCTCCCATGAGGTACATGTTGTGCCTTCTAGACTGAACTCTAATTTTCTTAACTTTTCTTTCCTATTTTACATCTCTTAAGTCTTTCGGTTCTATTTTCTGGAAATGTGTTTTTCACTCTTCCAACTCTTCCACTGAGATTTTAACTTCTGTTATCATAGTTTTAATTCCAAGAGCTTATTGGTCTATGAATGTGCCTTTTTTTAACAACCATGTTTATGACTTGAGTTATTTTTTCTGCTTGTCTGGGTCTCTTTCAAGCTAGGGGTCTCATTCTATGTGGGATGATCTTTGGCTGTCCATTCTCTGGTAAGAGAGGGGCACTAAGCCTGTGAAGTGACAAAGTAACAAGCTAGCTTTTCAATAGGGTCCCTCTCAGTGTCAGTATACAAGGGTCATTTTTCTTGTGAGGTCAGTTTCCTCAGGGAGAAGTTTTTCAAGGCCCTGCCTGGAGGCTGGGTGTCAGCCAGACTGCCCTGCTCTGGGACCCAACCAGGAGATGGCCTCTTGGTTCAAGGTGCAAACTTTCACTTTATCTTCCTGTTCTGGTGCAGTGCCTCTCCCTGCCTGCCCTGGGATGCCTTCCTCACAGCTTCCCCTGTCCTGGGCTGGGCATGAACCTCTCTGATTCAAAACTGCCTGCAAGAAATCTGTCATCTTCACCTGGGGTGGAAAAAGGGGTCACCTGGCCATGTGGGCTAAAGGAGGGGTAGGTGGCTCTAACACTTTTTTTTTCAGTCAGCTCTCACTCTGCGCCCAGGCTGGAGTGCAGTAGCATGCTCACGGCCACCGCAGCCTCAACCTGCTGAGCTCAGGTGATCCTTCCATCTCAGCCATCCAAGTAGCTGGAACTACAGGCATACGCTACCACGTCCAGCTAATTTTTGGATTTATTGTAGAGATGAGGTCTCCCCAAGTTGCCCAGGTGGGTCTTGAACCGTGGGCTCAGGCAACCCTCTCACCTGGGCCTCCCAAAGTGCTGGGATGACAGGCGTGAGCCACTGCGGCCAGCCAACACTCTCTCAACCAATCCTGCTTCCAGCCCACCCTGCAACCATCTTTGTGAGCACTTTGTCCACAGTCCCCATCTACTCCTGAGTCCTTCAGCTGGCTTCCCCCACCACCCAGGACATGCAGTATTCTCCCCTGGCTTCTCTCTCCCACACCTGTTTCCTGGCTTCCAAAGTTTTTGTTCATGCCCCCCTCTTCATCGTGTCCTTTCCTGTCTTCTTAAGGATTTCCATCTTTTTTATTCCTTTACTGTCATTTCAGTGGAATTTTGAAACAGAGCAGAGAAAAACATATGCATTCAATCAGCTATGTTTATGTAGAAGTCTATAATCATGTTTACCAATAAATAAACATAAAGTTTAAAGAGATACACACACAGAAGACTCTCTGGGGCTTCTTGGGAGGATACGCCAAACAGAAAACAATGGCTTCCTCAAAGGGGGTTTAGGATTATAGAGCATGCTGGCAGGGTTTTTGTTGTTGCTGTTGCTGTATTTTCCAAATTTGACAGTAAATATATATACATACATATATATATATATACACACATATACATATGTGTGTATATATATATACATATACATGTGTGTATATATATATATGTATATATACATATATATATGGCTTTTTTTGAGTTGAAGTCTCACTCTGTCATCCAGGTTGGAGTGCAGTGGCACGCTCACAACCTGCTGGGCTTAGGCGATCCTTCCACCTCAGCCTTAGCCTCCAAGTAGCTGGAACTACAGACGCATGCCACCATGCCTGGCTAATTTTTGTTATTTGTTTTAGAGATGAAGTCTCATCAAGTTGCTCAGGCTGGTCTCGAGCCCCCAGGCTCAGTCAATTCTTGTGCTTCGGCCTCCCAAAGTGCTGGGATTACAGGCTGAGCCACTGTGTCCGGCCTATGTATTTTTTATAAATAAAAAAGGCTGAGGATTGAAAATAGTATTTAAAGGCATCTTCTGAAACAGAGATTACGGTAGTGTAAACAGGCGTGCAGCAAAAATTCTAATTTCCCAACATGGGTCTACATGATCTTCGGCTTCTGCTTGGGTGCAGAGGAGTCCTGGGGTGCCAAGAAGCATTCTGAGGGATTCAGAGGCTGGTGGAAGGGGGAGGGGAGTTGAGTGGGAGGAGTTCTGGGCTAGTCTCTACCACAGTGGCTTTCCGTTATCTCCTTTATAGGTTAAAATTCTGCTAAATATTTTGATTTTTTTTTAAGACAGGGTCTCATTCTGTCACCTAGGCTGCAGCGCAGTGGCACAATCATAGTGCACTATAATCTTGAATTCCTGGGCTCAAGTGATACTCCTGCCTCAGCCTCCCAAATAGCTGGGACTATAGGTATCACCACCATGCCCAGTTAATATTTTAATTTTAATTTTTTTTTTTGAGTTGGAGTCTCACTCTGTGCCCAAGCTGGAGGGCAGTGGCATGCTCACGGCCACTGCAGCCTCGACCTGATCCTTCCACCTCAGCCTTCCAAGTAGCTGCAACTATAGGCACGCGCCACCATGCCCAGCTAATCTTTTTATTTATTGTAGAGACAAGGTCTTGCCAAGTTGCCCAGGCTGGTCTCGAACCTGTGGGCTCAGGCAATCCTCTCACCCCCAGGCTCCCAAAGTGCTGGGATTATAGGCGTGAGCTACCTCTCACCCCAGGCTCCCAAAGTGCTAGGATTATAGGCGTGAGCTACCGCGCCCGGTCTTATTTTTATTTTTTGAGTCAGGGGTCTCACTCTGTTACCCAGGCTGGAGTGCAGTGGCAGGATCACAGAGTTCACCATAGCCTTGACCTCTTGGACTCAGGTGGTCCTTCTGCCTCAACCTCCCCAGTACTGGGACAACAGGTGTGTGCCAACACACTCAACTAACGTTTTTACTTTTTGTAGAGACGAGTTCTCTCACGATGTGGGCTCAAGCAATTCTCCCACATCAGCCTCCCAAAATACTGGGATTATAGGCATGAGCCACTGTGGTCAGCCTATTTTGATTTTCCTTTTTTTTTTTGAGTTGGAGTCTCACTCTGTCGCCCAGGCTGGAGTGCAGTGGCACGCTCACGGCCGCCGCAGCCTCGACCTGCTGGGCTCCGGCGATCCTTCCGCCTCAGTCTTTCAAGTAGCTGGAATTACAGGCATGAGCCACCACACCCAACTATGTTTTTGATTTATTGTAGAGATGAGGTCTTGCCAAGTTGCCCAGGCTGGTCTCGAACCCGTGGGCTCAGGCAATCCTCTCACCTCAGCTTCCCAAAATGCTGGGATTGTAGGTATGAGCCGCCGCCCCCGGCCTATTTTGATTTTTTAAGAGATACACAACCATGAAGGAAGTTTGGAAAGCACCAATACAGATCGAGAGAAAATGACAGTGAGGTTGGGGGAGGCCTATAAAGCTGATACCACACTCTAACCCCTGACCCTTTCTACTGAAATGATGCTAACTCTCCCGCAGAATGTTCTATACACACAGCATACTTTATGTGCCCAGAGAGCTGGCAAGGGCACCACTAGACTCCCCACTCATGAAGCTCACTAACCAGACCCAGCTACCCCAGGTTCCCAGATGGGGGTATTTGGCCTCCGTCTTCATCTGCACAATGAGAGGCTGGCATTCATCTTTCAAGCTAATGTCCTAGAAGCTCCAAAGAGCATCCTATTACTGGTACAGTGACTGCCAACTCTCCGGAGACACAAAACGTCCCCACGGCAGGACTCATTGAGAAGTAATACTGAATTATAAAAGTTCAGTCTGCTCCCTTCGGAAAACTGTTTTCATATTTTCTCCCCAAATGGGCCAGCCCAATGCTACCGTGATGAGAGTGACTCAATACCAAATGCTGCAGCCTAATAACGAGCTGCAGCCTCCCTCAAAGCAAAGCCACTCCTTTTCCCAGGCAGCCTCCCTCTCTCGGAAAGCCCGCAGGGATCTAGTTCACGCCCCGCCCCGTTAGCTCCGCCCACAACTGTGGGTCATCCCCGCCCTTTGGGCACGCTGGGCCTACGGAGAAGTCCTCCCTTGGCTGGCGAGTCGGGGAGCTGGGTTTCGTTCAAATGCTTAACCTGACTACAAAATAACATCTCTTCTTCCTTCCCCCACACACGGAGCCCCATCCCCCAACCTACCTTTCTGGGGTGATGCAAGAAAGAACAGCCCAGGCCCCTCCGTATGGAAGATTAAAGATGCTTTCGAATCAATGAGTGGCATCCCGCCCTGGCCTGACTCTGAGCTCCTTGTCTGTCTGGGGGGGGGGGGGGGAAAGGAAAAAAGGAAAAACATTTTAAAAAGAGAAAATGTCAAAAACCTGTGCATCCTCTTACCGGACTGGAGCTCAAAAGCGACTTCTCCTTAGTCTCCCTTTTTGCAAGCCAATCACATTCCACTTGATGGGCCTTTCTGATGGCTGCGTCAACGCCACCCCCAGCTCCCTTTTACTGAAACCGACCACAGGAGCATTTCTAGTGCCTGAAGCAGGAATATACACGCAGATGACTCAGAGTGTTGTTAGAGCTGTTTGTTGGTTTTGTTTGGCTTTTGAAAGCAAAGCAATTGATCTGAGCCAAGCCTGGCTTTGAGCTCCATTCAGTGGATGCGAAAAGCAGGCTGGTGAACTTGAGATCTTGATTCCCCGTGTGGATCCGTTTTCAAGGCCCAAGTCTAAAGGAAAATGCATCCCCTGTTCGGCTGGAGAAAAAAAGGAAAGTGTGAGGGGAGCGTCTTCCCCCTCCCTTGGCAGCTCCTGGAAATAACCTGACCCCAAAGAGGGGGAAAAAGGAGATCAGAGCTGTAGTGCAGCCTAGCGAACCCCTGCAGTGGGACCCCCGGCTTCCAATCCCAGGCCCCGGGCACAGCTACCTCCACAGCAGACGTCCCTGGAGCCTGCTGGGGCTGGGAAGGACCCGTGAGGAACATGAACTGCAAGCCCCTGGCTTCTCCATGGGCCGAAAAGCGGCGTCCCAGGAACGCGTGGCTTCCGGCATATATCGCAGAAACACATTTCCCGAGGACCACGCCGGAGTCCTCCAGGTTGCCAGCCCAGTCCTGGGAAGGAGCTTGCTGCAGGAGCCCAGCAGCACGGGTGGGTTGGAGGGTCCCTTCCCTCAGGCTCCAGGGGAGAGCGGCAAGGACTTCCCAAGGCACTGCCGCCAGAGAAATGGGAGGCCAGCACCAAGGGCTGAGGAAGAAATACCTTCCACTGCTGACCCATAAAGAGACTGGCCCGGGCTGGAGTTGCCGAGACAAGTAACAGCCGCTCTGACACAGGGAAATAGCCGTGATCACAGGGAAATCACTTTCAAAACAGGAAAGACAAAGCAAAAAGCATGATGGAGCCGAGAGAGGCAAGCGTCAGGGAAGGTGAAGAACGAGCTCGTCCTCAGGAATTCAGGTCAGGAAACAAGGAGCCGGGGCAGAATCCACAGAGGGCGGCCAGGGAGAAGGCGCGCCCCCCGGGGGGAAGCTGGCGGGACCTCGGGACCTCCGGCCCCCCGGGTTCAAGGGCAAAGCTCGGGACGGACCCCGCGCAGGATGCTCGGCCCGAATGGGGACAGGGGGAGGGGAGGACGCGCAGCAACTGCTCCGTCCCCGACAAGTCAACAGCTTGCCCCGAACAACGCCTCCCGGTGCGGAGCCAGCTGAAGGCCCTGCGCAGCCCCTCAAGGACCGCAGCCGCGACACCTGGGGGTCCC